ATATATATATATATATATATTTGTTTGTTTGTCTTGTTTTGGGTGCTGGGGATTGAACACAGGTCCCTGTGCTTGCGAGGCAGGCGGCAGCACCACTGAGCTACATCCTTGACCCACCTCCCTTTGCCTGTTATTTCCCTTTCAACTTGAAAAAGATCTTTTTATTTCCTGTCACCTTTCTTTTATTTCGCTCTTTATATTTTGAGTTTCTCATATAGGGAAACCGTGTAATATTTAAGCTTCTGTACCTGATTTACTTCACTGAACATTATGGTCTCAAGGAGCAGCTATTTTTCTCCAAACGACTTGAGTTTGTCCTTTTATGGCAGAATAGTACTCCGCTCTGTATAAATGCCATGTTTTCTTTATCCATTCATATGTTGATGGGCACACCGGCCCTTTCCAAAATTTGGCTACCACGAGTTTTGCTGCTTCTCTGACTATGGGTGTGCACGGGTTGCTGTAATACCGCAGCCTCCGACCTTAGTCCTCCCTCTATGCATCATTAACCTAATTTCTGCATTTAGCACGCTGCTCCTTCACATATCCTTCCCTTCAGGGCACCACTTCTGCTGGCTTTCCCCTCACATCACTGGTCCCAACGTGCCCTGCTCAACTTCAAACCAGTAGATCCTATCTGCTTCTTGACAAGGCTGCTTGGATGGGGCCAGGAAATACTCAGCGTTTGCACTACACACCCAGCTTTGGTCTTCCTCTCCCACATCCGCCCCGTCTTCATCACATCCCACTTCAAAATTGGCTACTCTTCCTCCTAGCAGCTCAGGCCAAAATCCTGAAAGTCATTTTGAGTCCTTTCTTCTCTCCCGGCTCCACATGTATCCTGCCAGCAAACCGTGCCAGCTGCCCCTTCATGATACCCAGAATTCATTTTTTGTCGACACCTCCACTGCTCCTATTCCAACCCAGGCCATGGTAGCTTTTTTTCAAAAAAGTGCATTGCAATTCCTTCTAACTCTCCCTTCTTCTCACCTTTGCCTGCTAGAGCTGGTTTAAAAGAAAAATCCGGAGTGACCTGGTCTCTGAGGGTAATGAATCCTCCGACTGCCTAGAAAGGGGGCCTGATGACAAGGACTAAAGAAAGACAATAGACTTGCTTAATTTCAAAGGACATGGAGGCAGCCAGGGATTTAGCTCAGTGGTGCCACCACCTGCCTTGCAAGTGCAAGGTCTCAAGTGCAAGGTCAGAGTTCGATCCCTGGTACAAAAAAAAAAAAAAAAAAAAAAAAACACATACACAAAGGACGTGGGGGGCTGGAAGGTCAGTGCCTCAGAGCAGGCAAAGACAGAGACACTCTGAGCTGGCCACTGTTTATTGGGTGCACATGATAATCGGAGGAGGTATTGGGTGACTTAGAGGGCAGTGGTGATCCTGTGCTGATGAGGATCTTAGGCTGCAGAAGAAGGTTTCATGTTGATGAGGACGGTGGGGTGGGCAAAGCATTCTGACCGTAGTAGGTGGGACGACCTAGCAGGCTGATAAGGAATCTGTCCTTCCCCGGGGAAGCCTTTCTCTTTTCTTATTACTGCTCCACCCAGGGTGTCTTCAGCTGATGTACTCCTGCCCTTGGGCATCACAGTATTACAGGATCACTGAGGCCTCATCTGTGACCAGAGGCAAAATGGAGCTATGTTTCTGCATGCCATAGCTGGGTCTCGGGCAAGAAGATGCTGGGTTTAGACAGCCCTAATCATAATGCAATCATGAAATGATTTTTCCCCAAAATTATGCAGGATGGCTCTTGACAACCCGGTGAGAGTTGTGTCCACATTTATCACACTCACATCCCTCCAGCGACTCTTCCCCAACTCATACTGCAAGCCAGATGACTGGAACAGCTCTAGGCTGCCATCTCCTTCCCACACCCCAGCACAGCCTTTCCTCCTCCCCTGCACTGGTTTCCTCTTGCCTTTGCAGCTCCCTCTCTTTTTTTTTTTTTTTTTTTTTTGCAACAGGGTCTCACTGTGTAGTTGAGACTGACCTGGAACTCACTATGTAGCCCAGGCTGGTCTCGAACTCACAGCGCTCCTCCTGCCTCAGGCTCCCGAGTGCTGGGATCACAGGCGTGCGCCACCACGCCCGGCTATGTCCCTCCTTTTTATTCCTGGACACACCAGGCACACCGTGTCAGGACTTTCCTACTTTGGGATGGGCCGGCGCTCCAGCGTCTTTACTGAGATTGAGCCTTCCAGGGAGCCCTTTCTTGTCCCCTCTGCTGAGATCCCAGTGCGGAGCTCCATGTCTTTTCTTCTTTGTTTTTTTGGTAACGAGATCACCATCAAAAGTTCTATCTAGGAATTCTCCCCTCTGTCTCTCCTCCTCACCTCTCTTCCTTTTCTTCCTCTTCCTCTATCAGGCTGTCTCCCACGGGAAATCAAGCTTGACGATGACAAGAACACTTTTTGTTGTTGCCGATTCTTCCTACCCCAGGGTCCTGAAGTTGTGCCTGGCATGTAGTAGTCACTTAATAAACATTTGTTGAGTAATGAACAGATCGAACTGAAATGCAAATGAAAAGAGATTTAGAAAAATTGAGTAACACAATGAGCAAGGTGGATCAAAGCCTACAATTACCAAGTGTACATTTTTTCTGGTGAATATACATTTTTTTTTTTTTTTTTTGCCAAAACCAATCCTGCATCAATCTCTAAACCATGCCTCCACTCCATGTTGGTGAAAACCAAATGTCAATATCAGTCTGCAGTACAGACTACTTCCTCTAACCACAGAGCACAGAAAACAGCAAGAGGAAAACAGAGAAGTTACCAGATGGAAAACTCAACTGAAAAGTTAAATGTCCAAATCACTCATTAATGAAATAGTAATCATTATAGAGCTTAGAAACTTTTATAACTGAAATACACTAACTTTTTGCATAACAAAAATTTAAGGGCCCAGAATACAGCTCAGTGGCACTGTGCCTGTCTGGCCAACGCAAGGCCCTGAGTTCGATCCCTGATACAAAAAAAAAAAAGTCCTACATTTAGGCAGATAAGAAGAGATAGAGATTTTACAAAGAAAAACAGAAAAAAAAATTAAAAATAGTACTACAGGGAGAAAAATAGGGAAAGGTATGGCATTAGGGGAATAAAAAAAATCCCTAGTAATTAAAACACAAGTAGAAGGAAAGAAAGAAATTTATCAGCAGAAGTTAATGAAGTAGAAAACAGCAACAGCGAAATAGGCGATGGCCGATCTGTCGGGATCTTCAGCTCCTGCGCAGACCCGTGTGGTGCAGGCTCTGTTCTCAGCTGGCCCCATGTAGGAGGGGCAGAACCTGCGGCAGGTGGACTGGGGTGGGAGTCCTCCGGGCAGCTGGGTTCCAGGCAGGCTGTGGGGCCTCTCCTTGCTCCTCATCTCTTTTCCTACTTTCTGCATGCAAGTGGCCTGCTACTCATTTGTGCAAGAAAGCTAATCAATCATGACCCAAACCTTTAAAATCCGCAGACAAAATAGCCTTTCTCTATATAAGTTGATCATCTCTGGTACTTGTTATAGTAGTGGAAAATTCATAGACACAAACCTTAAAATTGGTTCACTGTAAACTGGGCATGGTGGTGCACACCTGTAATCCCAGCACTCTGGAAGCTGAGGCAGGAGGATCGCTGTGAGATCGAGACCAACCTGGGCTACATAGTGAGTTCCAGGTCAGTCTCAACTACATAGTGAGACCCTGTCTCAAAAAAAAAAAAAAAAAAAAAAAAAAAAAAAAGAAAATAAAGAAAAAAAAAGGTTCATTTTAAAGATGAATAAAACAGATGCACCTAACTGGGAGAAAAGGTGTATATACTATACACCATAGAGATTTTTTAAACTATGTAATAATTATTCTTATGCCAATACTTTTTTCCAACTTCTATACATTTTTTTCAACTGGAGGAAACGGATATTTTTAAAAATGATAGTCAAATTATTTTTTCCAAGTCATAAGTTTCATTAAAAATGCCATATGTTAAGTCTCTTAAAAAGGCAGCTTTCTTTTTCTAATCATCTTTGGCAAATGGTAAAATGATATATCAATTTCTTAATAGAGTTTTGAATTCTAAAGCACATTAATCGAAAGCACATTATTCAACTACAATCTCAAATCACACTTTTATAGGCAAAAGGGGATTTACTGGCTTTAAAACTTAGAACCTGGCTGTCTTCCTAGATTCAGAAAGGCTGGATCCATCAGTGCAAAGGAGACCATCAGAAAATGGGCCCTGTTCCCCCGCCCTCTTGGTTCTGGCTTCCTCAGGTTTGGGTTCATTTTCAGGAAACTAATTCAAATGTAGTGGTTAAAATGGTCAGCAGTTTCAGACTAGAAATTGCTATCACAGAGAACAAAGGGCTCCTTTTTTTTGAGTCTCCACAGAAATCCTGAAGGTCAAGACTCTTTGACCTGCTGACATCATTGGCTCATTCCTCAATAGCCCCCTTTGAGCCACAGATCGATTTGTGTCTCTCCAGCTCACAGGGATTCGATTCATCCTTCCCACTCCACATGGGCCGAGAGTTGGGGGAAGACACGACTGTTCAAAAGGAAGAAATGCAGAGAGGGTGCAATGAGGGTGATGATCTGTCTCCAGTATACTGACGACACGTGAGTAAAATGGTGTAGATGTTACTGGAAAATCAGGTGATGACTTCAGCTCTGCTCAAGGAAACCAGGGTCATAGCAGTTCTGCTGGAATGGAGATAAGCTGTTGCCCTAACTTAGGTTTACTTTTGAGCATGGTCTTGCTTTGTCCTCGCCTCACCAGCACTTCCGAGCCTGATGCGTGCTCAGTTGAGGTAACATGAGCTGTACTCCCAGCATGCCCTGGTCTGGGATCCATTTGGGAAGACAAAAATGTCCTGGGACTCAGTGAGGCCCAGGAAGAGGGAGGCGACTTTCCCTTCTGCCCTGTAGCCAGTCTTTAGAGAAAATAGGAATGAAAAGAATGCGGAAAATGGGAGTTAAAACAGGAAAAGCTTTATTCTATCCACGTATCTTATGAACTACATAACTGAGGGCCGGAAGGCATTGGGTGAAATTCAGAGGCAGGGTGACAAAACATCATGTGCTGAGGTAATGTCACCAAGGTATTTGATAAACTATTAGTTGCTATGCCAATGTGAAGAAAACATTTTATCTGGAGTTTTTATTTCTTGTTTTTTATAGATGTAGCTGAGAAAACTACAATCCACAAAACATTCTGTGATGTTCATTGTAGAAACATTTTCTCAGTCTGTTTCCTAGTTTTGTGAGAAAATGTCTATTTCTTTTCTGTGAGAAATGTTTACTGTGTGAGAAACTATTTTCATCATCACATACACTTGGTAAATCCAACATATCTATACTCAGTTCTCAATCACCCATCACTGGTTATACCTATGGAAATCTTGGCATTGTGTTCAGCCCAGGGCCTCCAGTAGGCCCTCACCACCCCCTACTCCGATCCTCACCTTCCTAACCCTGCTGATGTCTGGAAGAGTAGCATGTCTTTCCACATACTTTGCGGAGTCTACTTTTCCTCCCTTCTGGAAGGAACCAAAGTGGAAATTGGTAACTGACTTACGAATCCATTTGTTAAGTTTTCTCATGCTCTGTTTCCTGTCTCCTCTTTCCGTTACTGTTACTAACAGTAACCCTGACAATGCTGGCTGCTGTCCCACTCAAACCTTACGAAGAAAAACAGTAACGTACACAGTACACGTTTATCCACGTGAGCCAAGAAAAGTGTGGCCGACAGCTGAGACGTCAGGAGGAGCAGCTTCTAGGAGATGAAATGGAGACTAAATCTAAGTTTGGCATAGGCCAGGCTCGCAGAGTTATTGCTTTAGATACTGCAACAGCGGTGAGGACACATATTTGCCTTCAATGGCTGAAGCTAACGTCTGCCTGGCTTAGTTCAAGGAGCTCTGATAGCGAATGAGGACCCAAGAAAAGGCGGGGAGGGAAGGAGAGAGGAGAAAGCATGGGGAGGAGGCGGTAACCGGGAGGCTGCTCAACCTTGCAACACGGCCCGGGGTCCACCTCAGCCTTCATCGATGATGTCCTAGGGTCGGGGTTTTCTCATCTGTAAGGGAGAGCCATGGCACCTTTTCTAGTTCCTTTGCAGGGTTGTTTTAAGGCTAAGCAGAAAGAGACCACATGAGGGGTTTGCTGTGTGTAAAAGACAACACAGAGGACATTCAAAATGCCACGGCCCAGAAATGTGCACCTCCACGTTGGATTCTGGACTGCACGGTGGGGTGATGCGTGTGTGTGTGTTTGTGTGTGTTTAAGAAAATGTCTAGGCCTACAAAGGTCAGCTCCTGGAATTCTTTGTTTGAGCCTCAGATCAACTTTATTTCTATGAGTTTATCATTCGGAAATTTCCTGGCTCTAGACAAAAAAACAGAGAATGTAACGTCTCTCGGTGAAGCTGTGCAGTGCGTAGGCAGGCTGACCCGCAGAGAGGGTTTCAGGATTGCTCTGACGACCTGGAGTTCGCATCAGGAGACGAGGCCTTGGCCTTGGCCAAGAGCCTTGGAACGCAGAGTGCTGTAGGCTGGGACATCTTACAAGCGGCGTGGTTAGTTTGCCTGTCGAGGCGTTCTGCTGCTCAGCTGAATTGGGGTCCGTTTCCTAGAAGAGACTGCAGAGTGAGCGGAGGACCTGAATCCCAGAGCCGGCGTGTCCTGGCCCTGGGGACTTGGGCCCGCCCTGCTTACCCCTGCGGCGCCTCTGCGACCGCTAACGCAGAGGAATCCACCGCACACCTGCAGGACTGAGAAAAGCCAAGGACCGCATGTGCTTTGGTCCGCATTTTGTCTTCCCCAGATTCACGTGCTCACATCTTATCCCTCAAGGAAGGTTGGAGGGGGGCTTGGGGTTCATCAGGTTTTTAGGAGATCGTGAGGATGGAGTCCCCATGATGGGATCCGCATCCTCACAAGAAGAGCAAGAGAGACCAGAGCTCTCCTGCTTTGTCTTAACACTGCCTAAGGACATATAAGGGGCTAGATTTCTGTAGGCCGGGAAGAGGGCCTTCAGCAGGCTCTGCACTGCTGGCACCTTGCCCTTGGCCGTCCGCAGCGCAGCACCCTCTCTATCTCTCTGCCCACCACTGGACTTCCTCTTGGCCTCCCACGGTGAGATTTTTTTTTCTGTTTTTGAGACAGGGTCTCACTACATGGTTCAGGCTGGCCTTGAACTCGTGGCAATCTTCCTGCCTCAGCCTCCCAAGTGCTGGGATAAACAGGCGAGGGTCCCTGTGCTCGGCCACCTGAGAAGTCAATGTCTGCCTTTGAGCCGCTCAGTCTTGGGGTACTCTGATTCCAACATCATCACGGTGCATGGTAGACAGCTGTCATTAGCGAATCTCCATGAAGAAGAGTTTATTTAAAATCTTCTTGAAACATTCAGTGTAAGCTATTAACATTTGTGTGTGAAGATCTCAAGATTGTCCATTTTACAGATAAAACAGGCTGAGGGATATAAAAATGAAGCTTTCAAGTCTGTCGCAGCTGAACATTGTCTCTCCTTGCCC